AGAGAGAGAGAGAGAGAAGGCGTGGGTGAAGAAAGGGAATCCTTATCCCCTTAAGGGTAGTAAATATCGAATGCCTCCCCACTCGCCTTAAAACTCGCCTATTCCCAAGGGTTGTGCAAACGACACGATTGGGTTACCCACGCCCGTATTGATGAGAATCCCGCAATAAGGGGACACGATCTCTGTTTTGACAAGACGTGCCGATGGAAACTACATCTTGAAACGTGGAACGGCAGACGAAAACGGTCCGAAATAATGACCGAGTGGATGTGACGTCACATTACAAAAAAAATTGTCAGTGGATTAGACTCATGGAATATTATACTCTCTGCAACTGTGTGTGGTGCTTGTGTTACAGGTCCGGATACATTCTTTGCATCTGAAGACTATTCTGGAGTAATCAAAAAAAGGAACCCACCTTGCAATGTCGAAGACAATCTGCGCGCCGGACACCTCGTCATTGAAGCCTGGTTCGGGGGCTACTGAGGGAGTGCTGGACTAAGGGGTCCTCGGGCGTCCGGCCTGCTAGCCATGGGTCGGACTGATGGGCTGTGAAGATACGAAGACCGAAGACTCCACCCGTGTCCGGATGGGACTCTCCTTGGTGTGGAAGGCAAGTTTGGCGACCAAATATGAAGGTTCCTTTCTCTGTAACCGACCTTATGTAACCCTAGATCCCTCCAGTGTCTATATAAACCGGAGGGCTTAGTCCGGATCAGATATACTCATTACCATAGTCATGCAGGCTAGACTTCTACGGTTTAGCCGTTACGATCTCGTGATAAATCAACTCTTGTAATACTCATATCCATCAAGATCAATCAAGCAGGAAGTAGGGTATTACCTCCATAGAGAGGGCCCGAATCTGGGTAAACATTGAGTCCCCCGTCTCCTGTTACCATCGATCCTAGACGCACAGTTCGGGACCCCCTACCCGAGATTCGCCGGTTTTGACACCGACAACGAGGAGGTGGAAGAGCATTGGCCGAGGCTAGGGTTTGGGCTTGGTAGGGATCGAGGAGGCACATGTGTTGCCGGGAGTGGAAGTCTATGGACTGGCTGGTCCACAGCTTCCTCATTAGAAAGGACGAGGACCCCACAGCTGGGTGGCTGACAGGTGGGCTCGCCCGTGCGTGAGGATTAAATGTGGTCGGTGGGATGTTGGTGGACGTCTGATAGGCGGGCCCGAGGCAGGCACGGAGCGGGTGCGTGGGTGTCTGTTTAGACGCAAACAAGGAGCAAGTTCGCTCTGGGGATGGGTCGGGTCGGATGCAAAACAGACATATTTTTGCGGTTGCGGCCACACGTTTAGCTGTTGCGTCTGTCCGCTTGGCTTCAAACAGATGCAGCCTGCCATTTGGGGGCCTGCGTTGGAGTTGTCTATGAGCGTCTACACCGTCCAAAGCCCGGAGAGACGGATTGGTCACTTACCAGTCAAAAAATGACCCAACCGGATGTCTTAAACTGGACTCAAACGTTTGGGCTATTCACCACCCCTCGTATTCAGTTCAAATGTAGGGAGGATTTGAGCCGGGTGAGGCATGTTCGCCGCGTTTGTCCAGCCAGCGTTGGCCCACCACGATCCCACTCCGTCCCCATAAAACTCCCACCAAGAGCAAACCCTATCTCACTTCATTTCACTCCAATCTCCATCTCTTCTCCTTCCTTTCCTCGATCTGCCCCCTCCCGATCTCGGTCTACCATGTGCAGCACCGACAACCACTCTGACGGATCCGACGATGAGTGGGATGCCTTCCTCCGCGAGGAGGGTGGCGAGAAGGAGCTGGCCACGGGTACGGTGGACACGGATGCCTTGTACGATGCACGATTACAAGTATGAACTAGAGGGAGATGGATTATGGTGGTGATGGCGGCTATGGAGATGGAAATGGCAGCGGCTAGGGTTGATGAGAGGGGATGAAGTTGGTTTTGTTCTGTCTTCGCTCTACGTTGTTATGTTAACATTTTGGCATGGTCCTCTTTATAAAAGTTGTCCGGGTGGATGAGTAGCCTCGGAGTCTATGCCATACGAGCGCGGTAATCGTATGAAACGTCGTCTTTTGCACTGTCTTCACTGGTGCGCCTCCTAATGATTTCGTCTATCTCCTTTTCCACTACTTTTCATGTTCACACGTGATTTCTTCGCTTATTAGCCCATTTTTGGTGGAAACACATCAAAAATAGGATTTGTGGAATCCTTCACATTCATTAGTCATTTGTAGCAATATCGGAGCGAATATCTCGGTTTTAATGAAACGTCTCGGTTCAACAAAAGGGTGAATGAGTGTTAAAATATCACTTATTTAACTCCCCCAAGTTTAAACTTGATCACCCTCGAGCAACATAGAGAGAAATCCGAATCATAAGGAACTCAGTTGTTTAAACCAAAATAACGAGAAGTTTTTGGTTCACTTACGATCGGTACACTTAGATAGCTCTCCGCTTCTTAACCTGAAAACATAGTATACCTGTAGTGGTGGCATGGTAATTGTGCAAGTGTTAGTGATGCAAAGAGAAACAACACAAAGTTTTTGATCTTTAGATAAAACAACTTTGGAACACTCAATTCTATTTATTCTAGACAACACTTACTTGCCGGGAATGCACGAAAGAGTTATTCTTTGGTGGAGCCATAAAAACATAAGTTAGGCAGTGAAAGACATGTAGAAAAACATGATGTTAAAGTGCTCATTAACACACCCACAATTATATCGTCCTCAAGGCTCTTAAGCACTTCATTTCAATCATTATTTGCTGAAATTTTGGTTGTCGCCTGAAGGGATTATGCCAAATAAGTGAACATGCATATACTTTTGTTATGGCTTAATTTTTGGGAACTATGGACCTTTGATAGTTGTCTCTTTTGAGCTCTTTTGACCAGTCCTCTTTATTTACCACATACACACCCATTCAAGAGAAATCCGCCCTCCGAATGGCGACAGGAAATTCAAGGAGCAATATGCTGCTTTTTGGAAGGATGGAGGGCCGCAAGCCGTCAAGGAGCGTGGTGAGGGAGAGAAGTCGCGGCCATGGGGAAAGACAAGCTCCAATAAAGAGGACAAGCATGATGTGGTGTCGATTGCCCTTGCAAGAAACTTTGCAAGGCATGATGACCCAAAATGATACAAGGGAGGAAAGTGTCGGCAAGACAAATAAGAGAAAATGAAGGCCTACATGGAGATACAAAGGAAGAAGCTCGAGATGAAGGCGAAGAAAGTCGAGATGGAGGCAGAGATTCAAGCAAAGATGCTCGACAAAGGAAGAAGCTCGAGATGGAGCCGGAGATGCAAGCAAAGATGGTCGATAGCGAGGCTACCAAAGGCAAGACCAAAGAAAAAGAAGTGACGCTCGCTTGCATGTTGAAGGGGTGGAGATCATGAAGGTAGACTTGAGCATGGTATCACTGAGGAAGAAGACATGGTTCGAGAACATGCATGCCGACATGCTCAAGGTTGACGATTGATCTACGACGGAGAGCGACATCTTTTTGTATGCCGGCATGACCACGGTCGAGATGGCGTGGTTGAACTCCTACCCCTTGCTGTGTGCTAGCATTTGTGTCGGGTGCTGGCAGGTGTGCCGGCCTGAACCGTGTGATGATTTTTGAAGGCTCGCATGTATGTCAGCCGCCGGCATGAACTCTGGACGATGTCATCATCGTTGGCATAATCTTTGATCACGGGTCTTTTTTATGTTGAAATTGTTTTTTGAGCGAACAAGAGTTGGGTCGGTTGGTTCGGTGCACCGGCCCGACATCTGACCCAAACAGACAAAAAAAAAACAGGCAAAAATGCGCGTGAGAGCCTTGGGGTTGCTCCATCCGGCTGGCTACAGTGTGAGGCAATCAATCCATCTGACGAACGGCCCACGGACGAAGTCGAGGTGGGGGCGTGACGACCCCGCATCAGCTCCCTCTTCTCCCCATCCACTCAACCTAAGGCTGGTCACAATGGGCAAGAACATAAGCTAGTAACTTACACACTTCCCTAGACTATGTTACTACCTTCATAGTGGGTAGGAACATCTATGTAGTGTCATGCAACGATGTATTTATTAGGTTATAGACTCATTGTTTCTTGGAGTGTGTGATGTTCCGATAACTTAGTTAGTTACCACAAGCACCTCTCTCTTCATTAAATATGTGCCACATAAGCAAAGTTGTATTGGAGTGTGTGATGTTACTCCTAAGTTCCTCCCCATTGTGACCAGCCTAACACACAGCATCCATCCCCCGCCCGGCCGCGCTCAATCCCCACCCCCACTGTTTCCAGGTCCGATTTTCTGCCCCGGATCCTTGCTCAGTTGCTCCATCGATCACCATGGTAAGTAACAACTCTGATTCTGTCGCATCAAAATCATCTTACTTTCTAGCTGTGTAATTAATTTTACATTTCTTGGTCCGTTCTATGGATCTCATGCCTGTCAATCCATCCGGTTGCTTTTGCAGAAGATGCCAAGTTCATCGTGCTGAGAGCGGGACGCTGACAGGTGGTGGGCGTGGTGAGCGCGCTGCGGGAGGCCAAGTTCGTCCCGCAGATCGTCAGCGTCGGACCGGATCAGGCCGAGAAGAATCCTGACCGCGTCGCCTCCGTCCGGCAGCCCGACGGGTGATTCCATTTCTAATTTATACTCCAGTAGCAACATCTATTATGTTTTTGTGTTCATTTGTTGTCGATGCAGGAGGAGATTTTTCGGCTTCTGCATCGACATCAGACTAGTATACTTTGTCATGCATATAGATTAGTAGATAGATCCCCAATTTATTATCGATCTACTCCCTCCGTTCCTAAATATAAGTCTTTCTAGAGATTCCAATATAGACTATTACGGAGCAAAATGAGTGAATCTACACTCTAAACCACGGCTATATACATCTGTATATAGTCCATAGTGAAATCTCTAGAAAGACTTATATTTTGGAATGGATGGAGTAATACATATTAGTACTCTTTTGTTTGGTTGCAGGTCTACTCTATTGTTCCGGTTGCAGAGAGATCGACATGGATCTGCTGCTACCGCCGATTAGTGCTTCTCTTGGTGCCATGGGCTCCCTTGCACACAAGCTGGATGCGCTCCTCGATACAGAACACAAGGATGAGATGGGGAAACTCGGAACCCGGCTGCTGGAGCTCTCCAAGGCACGAGACCCTCCCGTTACAGCGAGAATCTGGATGAAGGATGTGCGCGAACTATCCTATGATATGGAGAACTTTGTCGACACTGAAGAAGATTGGATCCACAACATGTCACCATTCATGGGCCGTGTGAAGGAAGCAAATGCACGGTACGAGAGGTACAGGCTTGAGAGCGTCCCCAGCCACACATATGTCTTTCCAATTATCCACCACCGTGGCCGGAAGACAGGTCTAGTCGTTGGCCTTCATGACAAGGGTGGCCCGGTTGATAGGCTCTGCCAATTGCTGACCGATGGAGATGAGCAGCTCAAGGTGTTATCCATTGTCGGTGTTGGAGGGATCGGGAAGACCACGCTTGCCAAACAGCTATGGCGTGAGCACAAACTCAGGGACTACTTCCACTGCCGGGCTTTTGTGCGGACGGCCAAGAAACCAGACATGAGGAGGATCCTAAGGAGCATACTCGCACAAGTTCGTCCGCACCAACCACCTGATGCTAGCGAGGTGGACGACCTCATTCACGATCTCACCGAGCATCTACAGGATAAAAGGTATGGGTTTTCTTGGCCCTATGCACACTATGTATTTCTATAACTCGCTTAATCTATTCATCGAAGTTTCATCATTCTGAGAAACATTACAAGTCAACCTTTTAGATCAGAGTGTTTTATGCCACGTTCCATGCTCATTCCGGTGTTCTTTGCATTCATTGTATTCCAGCGCATGAGTATTTGCTTCCTAACCTTGTTCTGCCTTTTGCATTCATTGTCTGCCTTTGTACCAGATAGTATTCAAGTCCCATGCTCATTCTATGCATTTACAGTGAATTGACCACAGAACCACTTAATAGATGGTAGACAATCTCTTGCTCTTAATACTTAATCGGGAAACTCTTATGTGCTAGCACTTATCCATCAATTTATTTATTTTTCCTCCTGAAAAGTTAAAGGGTATCACGAGGGTGGCACACATATATGCAAGGATAGGTACTGGAAAGTACGAGGGTAGTGCTCCAATGGTTGGTCTAATGTGCTTGGGGTATTTACGGTGTTCCACATACTTCTAATTAGACTTTTTTTATCAGGTATATTATTATAATTGATGACATATGGGATACATCAGTATGGGATGTTGCTACATGTGCTTTCCCAGAGGGTAATCATGGAAGCAGGATAATAACAACAACAGAAATTGAGGATGTTGCCCTAGCATGCTGTAGTTACCAGTCCAAGTACATATTTAAAATGGAGCCACTCAGTGTCAGTCAATCAAAACAATTGTTCACCAATGCAGTGTTTGGCTCTGGAAAAGAGAAATCTCCTCAATTAGATGAAGTGTCAGATGAGATTATAAGAATATGTGATGGTTTACCACAGGCAATTATCAGCATATCCAGTGTTCTAGTAAGCCATAGGGAAGCAAATGCAGTAGAGAACTGGGAGCACGTACAGAACAATTTGCCAACAAGTACAACTTCCGACGAGATACTGAACTTTTGCTACAATAGTCTTCCCAGTTGTGTTCAGACATGTCTGTTGTATCTTGGCATATACCCGGAGAACTATATAATCTTGAAGGAAGATATAATGAAGCAATGGGTAGCTGAATGTTTTATCCGTGCACCAACAGAGAAAGAAAAAATGGAAGTGACCGGGAGCTATTTTGATATGCTTGTAAATATGGGCATGATCCAACATATAGACGTAGACTATAGCAATGCGGTATTGTACTATGCAGTGAATCACATGGTACATGATCTTATTACTTCTAAGTCCATAGAAGATAATTTTATCACTGTGATAGATTATTCTCAGAGGCAATTGCGGCTTTCTAACAAGGTTAGTCGTTTGTCCCTCCAGTTTGGCGGCGCACCATTTGCAACTACACCAGCAAGTACTGGACTATCACAAATTCGGTCGCTTACTTTTATTGGACTGATGAGCTGCTTTCCTTCAGTTGTGGAGTTTAAGCTTCTTCGATTTCTGAACCTTCATATTTGGAGTGATCAACCAAGCACATACTTCGACCTCAGGGTTATCTGTGAATTTGTTCTGTTGAGATATTTGCAGGTCACCTGCAGCGACACCGTATATCTTCCAGATCAGATGCAAGGTCTGAAACACTTGGAAACACTTGAAATAAATGCAAGAGTAATAGTTATTCCATCGGATGTTGTTCATCTTCAGAGCTTGTTGCATCTCCGTCTCGGAGGTGGGACAGAACTGCCTGATGTGACTGGTATACCCAGAAATGTCACTGTGCCTAGTGTTGCCAATTTATTGGATGAGTCAAGCAGTCCTCCAAAATCAGTGATGACAATCGAGTTGTTGCCACCCATTTGTAGAATCCCCGAGTGGATTGGACAGCTTAACAACCTCTGCATTCTGAAAGTTGTCCTCGGTGAACTGCTAAGGGATGATATCCATATCCTGGGAGGATTGCCAGCCCTGACTGTTCTCACATTGCATGTACAGCGACGAACTACAGAACTAATTGGCTTCACACCTGGAGCATTTAATGCTCTAGAATATTTTGAGTTCAGGTGTGGCGTACTGCGCCTGATGTTTGAGGAAGGAGCAATGCCCAATCTTCAGAGGATTAAGCTAGGTTTCAATTCTCACAGAGGAGAACAGTACGGTCGTTTGCTTGTGGGCATTGAGCACCTGTCAAACGTCCAGGAGATTTCTGGAATAATTGGGTCAACCGTCGGTGCAGAGGAATATGACTTGCAAGCTGCAGAGTCTGCATTCAAGGATGCCACTGGCAAACATCATAGTAACGTCAGCATAAAAAGATCAGATATTGTTGTGGAAGAGTATGGTCCTCTAGAAAAACAGCATTTGGTGCGAGGGAAACACCCATCGACATCAAGTGAACATACTGGAAGTCGAAAACAAGAGTCCCAGCAAGCTATAAAGCAAAACTCCCATAACAATTCTCAGTTGATTAGCAGGTATATGGTTTCTTATCCTGGTTCAACACTTTCTTTCTTGATTATGCAAAGAAGTGCATAACAGCCCGCAGCATTGTTAGCACAATGGCAGACAAACTGAGGATTAATTAGCCATAAAAAATCTGCACTAACCCATTGCTTTCTTGAATCACATCTCTGCTGTATGGCATAATAATAGCCAGAAAGGGCCCAACTCAACTTCCACCTTTTATTGTTACCGTTTTTGTGTTTTCTTACATGGATTTGACAGGTGCAATTAAAAATGTCAGGAATCTTTAGTGTTTATTCGAGCTATAAAAGTATAAAAATAAAATTTTCTCCTGCAAAAGTCTGACTTTTTTTTCTACCAGGAGAAGTGATGGCAAGAAACAAGCAAGTGTGGAGCTACGGAATGACCCGCGATCATCGGTGCAGAAGGTGTGATCCCTAATGTCATAAGTTTAATTTCTTCCAAATAAATTCATGAAATTTTTATGTTCATTCATGTTATAATCTTTCCTTTTGTACCATCATAGAAGGTAAGTGCATGACTTACAAGTACAAATCTCCAAATTATGAGAAAGGACTCTGAGGAAATGAAAAGTACAAAGTGAATCTAAAAAAGACAAACAAAATCCACCTAACGAGAAGTACAACGATGCTATCTCCAATGCCACAAATTGTGATTCCTAAGCTGGAAAAAACAGAAACGGAAATCTAAGCTTGGAGATGATCTATTAGTAAGAAAGTTAAGCCATTTTTTTCCACTGTAAAAGAAGTTTTCTCTTAGTCATGTGTTTTTTGTTTTATTTTATTAACCTTGTAATTTTAGAAGTATACAAAGGTTTTTTCCAAAATGGGAAGCCCTTGTCCTATACATCGATTGATGCACACAGCTAACTTTATTACGGAGTTCTAATCCATCCGTAGAAATAAAGTAAATAACTTGCTGATGGGCTAGAACAACCACCAAAAAATTACATGTTGCACTTATGCATCATAAATCTTATTTCTAGACTCATTGAAAAATAGTGTGCGCTACTATCTCCAAGTTTTTTTCACTCAGAGGGCAGAGACTCCTGTGATTCCGCATGCTGCAATAAGCACCACATACCAGTGGGTAGGCTAAGTTACAAACTCTAATTTTGTTTAAAACATAATCACTGCACCAATTTCAAATAGTCCAACATAAAGCGTACCCCCCTCCCCCTCTGTGTTTGAGCATTAATTAAGTTGTGCACTAACTCCTGCCAACCATTTTCCGAGAAAAAGCCATGTGTCCGCCACAAAAGTTGAGAAAAGGGACATGGGAAAGAGAAATTGATATTGAATGGTTTCTTTCTCGTCACAAAACAGCACTTCTTACTCTCATTCCACTTGCTCCTTGGACTTTGCTCTTAGTTTCGGTTACACTAGCACCTATGAGGTACCAACGAAGTGTTTGATCTTCGCCAGTACTTTTAGTTCATAATAAACTTTTGGCAAAAGTGGCGAGTGTTGTTCACCGTCTCAGAATACATCGATTTGATCAAAGAAGACTTCATTGGACCAAATGTAGCAAGGCCATCCATTTATCACCTGTGATTACTAGAGATAACACTAAGAGATAATCCAGTATATCACATAAATTTTGTCTTCTTTAGCTGACATAGTGTATAAGAAAAGACTGAGCTATAAACCATGTACGCGCATGCAAACCCACGGTCATATCTAATGTACTCTGTCCATCTGGAAATGTATGGCGTTTTTGTTTTGTTTTGTTTAGACAATTTTGATCAACATTAAGATGTTAAAGAGTTACTTCTCACACCTTAGAAAAGATTGTGATTCTTGGTGGACATTAATGGTTTCGGAAATGGAAGAACATTAGGACTCCTTCGTAAATTACCACTAACATCCTTACATCAACACCCAAAAATACAGACAAAAAGGCAACGGACTAGGTAGATCCAACATATATCTCCTAGCCTAGTCTCGTCAATAGCAAAACGCTTCATCACAACGGCTTCTAAGCGTTTGCTTCCTGTGTGATTAATTCAACATTGTTGGGTCATCCTATCGATCTCAATATCTCATCCCTACCCAATCCATTTGGTTCCTTTCGCAGGTGATCGTAATCAAGATAGTGGACATTACAGACAAGCGGTGGAAGTCCAGTGCCTTCAAAGTCCTTTCGAAGTTCCATGGTAAGTTTGGAAAGATAATCATATCATATTTTTTCACTCGATCATTAACGGTAATGTTAAAAATATGACGTCGGATTTTTGACCATGGTAAATGCAAGGTTTTTCATGGCAATTATATTTGTCGTGATGATGGCAGTTTCCTTTAGCAAGCATGGCAAATCCTTTCACGCCAACTATAATTGCCATGAAAAACGTTTGATTTACCATGGTATAAAAATCTGACGTTTGTTTTGTAGTAGGGAAGCCCATGATTAATTGCCATGTGAATTTTATAGCAAGCTTGATGCTTTGTTTGTTTTGTTTTTTTGCCAGGGACCAATTCGGTAGCGGCAAACGAGGAGGGGACGCTAACTGTGGTGGGGGACCTGGACCCGGTGGTCGTAGTGCTGGCATTACAGAAGGCCAAACTCAATGTGCAGATCGTCAGCACGGGGTCGCATATCTTCTCAATGGGCGAGGGGTTGATGAACAAACCCGAGGGCCGCAAAATGCCTGGACGTAACCCGCCCGAGGGACAACAGAAGCCTGAATCTAACCCAACCGAGCTGCCGCACAGTCTCATCCCCCCGTACTCCCCTCCCTACCGGCCACCCCCCTACCGTCAACACCGACACGAGGTCCACCAGTCCCGGGAGGACCCCAACTCATGTGTCATCCAGTGATTTTTTTTGCATGGGTATTGTGGATTGTATTCATCATAAATAATGTTAGAGCATCTACAGCCGGACCTCTCAAACCTGCCTCATACGTCTGGACATGCTGCCTGGTCACGTTTTTTCAACCCAGACGGTCCCCTCAAATGGCTCTCAAACGCCCGGGTTGACAGCACCTCTCATGTCCAACCCAAACATGGCGCGGATATGGGGGCACCCAGGCGCCCGCCACGTCGGTCCCAGTCCACGTTGGCCCACTCGACCCCACATAAATTCCTCTTCATCCGCTCGCCGGACTAAACCCTAGCCACTTCACTTCCTTTCGCCACCCAAGCTCGTCGAGTCCTGTGAGTTAGCTCGTGTCCCATGCCCTACTCTACCTTGCCGGCGGCCAGACCAACATTCTAAGGAGCGCAGACAGCCGCCGGACATGGCCACTGCAGAGACGGGCGAGCAGGGAGCGGAATCGGGTGAGGTATCCGGATGTGGAATACATTTTTTGAGCCGTGGCCGGTCACAGTCCGCGGACGCGCCGAGGCGCGTCTGCAGGCGTTTGAGGGGTCGGATTTGCCAAGTCCGACTGTAGATGCTCTTACACACGTACACCAGAGCACAATTTGGAAGACTGCGCAACCAACAAGCGGTGCTACCTTCGGAGTGACCAAGATTAGCTAGAGTGTACTCCCTCCGTCCACCAATAAAGTATATGCTTGGCATTTAAATTTTATGCAGAAAAAAGTGTACTTCTATCTTCTCAATGCATTTTAAAATGGAAAATAGATTCTTCTCACTCATCACAGGTAATCAAGACCAAGAACATTTGACACCTGATCTCCTCATTTTCTACACGCGCTTAGCTAATTGGGGTGAGGTAATTAAAGAGGAGAGAGATGGTGGCACTTTCCAGTGTTGCAGTGGGGGTTTTCCCCACTGTGTTTTCTTATAAAAAAAAGTGCTAAGTTATGAAAATGCCAAAAAAATCCTATAAGTTGCCATGAGAACAATGCAAAAAATCATTCTCATGTTTGCTTATAATCAAACTGCCACAGTAGTTTATTGATGAAACTACCAGTCTAATTAAAAAAATTGACATGTTGCTTATATTAAAACTGCAATGTATAGTAACTAAAATTGTCAAGGTCTAATTTATAAATATGCCATGCTATATATAATAAAACTACCCTGGCCTAATTAAAACTACCATAGACAACTTACATAGAAACTGCCATGGTCTAATCAAAATATAATTGCCATGGCCCAAATAATAAAAATGTCATGGTACATACAATGAAACTACCATGGTCTATTTAAATAAAAATGTCGCGCTATCCATAAATAGAATTACCATATTCTCACTTATAAAAATGCCATGCTACCTATAAATAAAACAACTATGGCCTAATGAAAACTACCATGGTCTAATAGATATAGGAAAATGTGATGGTATGATTAATTTTTTTTCCCATGGCACAAAAAAAATGCCATGTGGAAAATTTAAAAATTGCCATGATATGTATTTTATTTTTTGGAAAAAATCTCTCTCTCTCTCTCTCTCTCTCTCTCTCACACACACACACACACAAATTGCCTTGGTACAAAAATATGTCATGTGGCAAATTTTAAAAGTTCCATGATATGTATTTTCTTTTTCGAAAAAGTCTCACACACACACAAATTGCCTTGCCACAAAAATAAAAAATGCCATGTCATCAAAAAATAAATTTACCGTGCTATATATGAAAAAATGTCATTCTCTTGATTTAAATTTTTTTAGATTGCCATGGTCTTACTAATTAAAAAATGACATCCTCTCGATAATAGAAACACCATGCTCTTGATAATATAGATGACATGCTCTTAGTAATAAAAATGTCATAATCTTAATAGTAAAAAATGTTATGCTCTTAATAATAAAAAATGTCGTGCTCTTGATAAGAAAAATGGCATGTTGTTTCACGGCTATGGTGGAGAAGATCATCCACGGCTGCCCTTGCCCTTCTTGGCGCCTTTGTTGTCCTTATCACAGAAGTACCGGTCGAAGACGCAGTAGGGATCGAGCCGGATCTTCTCATCCCGGGGCTGTCCTCACTGTCGTTGTCCTCCTTCTCCTCCTTTGATGGTAGTTCGGTCACGGCATGGACCGCCCGATTCCGCTCTTGGGCGAGGGCGCGCGTGTTCCTCCGCTGTCGCTTCTTCACAACACGGGCGCGGATGACCTCTTCCTCTGCGGCTGCCCGCTTCGTCGCATGAGCCGCCCCTGTGGCCGCCATGTCGGCAGTGAGACGAGCATCGGCGACCCTTATCCCCTCCTTCCCACGACGGGCACACCAGTCCAGGTGGGACTCATAGTCCACCCGACAGGTGATGGGGAACTTGCCAGGGTTTGGTCCGACGAGCGGATGTGGAGAAATATATGTGGGTTCGGGTGGGTCAGCGTGGGCTGGGCGCGAGTGACGGGCGCGCCCGGGCGCCCCCATATCTATCCCATATTTGGGTTGGATATGAAAGGTGCTGGTCAGCCTGAGCGTTTGAGGCGCTGTTTGGGTCAATTTTTCGTCACCGGTCAGTGACTGAGCAGTCCGTCCGAGCGTATAGAGCGGGTTTGGGACATCCGGTTGTAGATGCTTTAAAGCCAACCGGTCGATGCCCCGGCCTCTCATCCCTAATTATGAACACCATACTACTATAGATTTTTTTTTCCTTCATCGATACTAGTAGTATAGAATTTGCCCCATCCAACATGGGGGCTGCTAAGCGTCGCGAGCCATCGGATATTATAAAATCAAGCAGCTGAACGTTTTTCTCTTCTTTGCAACAATGATCTTTTTGCGGAAACACTTGAGATTGTGTTGAGATTTTTTTTGCAGTATAGGTTGGGTTGCGGGATTATTATTTTCACAACATAGGTCGTGTTGCGGTTTTTTCTGTCTTCACTTTTTTTGCAACAAAGGTATTGTTGCAGAATTTTTTGGCAAGATGTTACAATTTGTTTCTTTATCTTCACCTTTATATGGTGTTACGGAAGAAAGTTTTGCAACATAACTGATGTTGCACAAATCTTTCTTGCAATAGATTGGATGTTGCAAAAGAAAACACCACCATCATTCGTCACAAGCCTGCCAGATGGTGTTGAGGGAGGAGCGGCCCTGCCCGCCCCACCCGGCGCCGCCGCCAGCATGCGCCGGACCTCCAACCAGGTGGCCTCGCTGCCATCTTCCTCTCCGACAAGGTGGACGCCATTGATGAGGAACTTGCGTACAGGAGAGAGGTTGGAGAAGAGATGAGATGAGGGAAAGAGATGTGTGTGGTCCAATAAACCAGGTGTCGATCAACGGAGGAGGCGGATGCCTGTACTAGATCCGCCGGTTGAGCGATAGCCTTTTCCATCTAAATATTGGCATCCTTTTCCAACAAAAAAGTAGTACATGTGCAGGGCCGCCCCTGGGGCATGGGCAGGGGGGCAACGGCCCAGGGCCCAGCCCAGGGAGGGGCCCATGATGTAGTGCACATATATAATATAGCCAAGCAAAAATAGGTGAGAAAAAAATTTATGAGAGAAGAAAAACGAGATGAGGTAGGCCCATCAGATAGCAGGTAGGGATTAGCGAAGCGTCATGCACGCCGCACGGCAGGGCCGCTCGTTTCGATTGTGAAACAAATCAATCGAAGATCTCGCGGACGCCTCGCTCGTCTGTTCGTCCACTCGTCGCTGTGGTCGCCTCGGTCACCGCTGTGCGCATCGCCCGCCGTGCGGCAATCCAGCAGCCGCAGCCCGCAGCAGTACGTATACGTATGTATGTGAGCAGTGAGCGCAGCCCACAGCAGTACGTATACGTATGCATAACTCTCTGTACCATGTTCCTGATCCATCCCTGCAAACCCCAATTTCAGTAATTTCTTTTATTTTTAGAACGTATTCAACTATTCATCCATGATCCATCCTCTAATTTCAGTGTACATGAAGTTCCAAATTTTAATGTATAATTTTCGAATTCAATCTTTCATAGTATGTATTCAACCATCCTTTTTTTTGTCATTCTATGCACATGTCTAGGGTTCCAATCATTCAAATCATTCGATGTATAAATTTCGAATTCCTTGAATAATTTTTCCTTCATAAGATTAGAACATTAGCCCGCCATGTTGCCTAAGAAGCATTTGTCAGTTGTTCAAACAAGGAGAAAAAAGATAGAAAGGGATCTGAAGATTCAACAACTGAAGGGTACTTAAGTATTATTATTGTCGATGGAGTCAGTTGAATTTGGTTCTTATCATGTTACTTTCAATTTTCTATCTTTTTAGTATTTCTGTCGTAATATGGCCTTGTCCAATAATTATTATGTTTAATTTTATGCACCACGCACGCGCATACATATATATGATCTTAAAACATAGGGGCACATGGCACCGAATTCGCCTAGGGCCTCTCGAAACACAGGGCCGGCCCTGTACATGCGTATACATACATCGGGTTATACATCGTTGATCTGGGGGACACATAATCAACCGGCACGTGAACTGATAATCAAAAGAAACGAAGAACCATGCACATGGCACACGAACAACAATGCAGTTGCCTCGCTAAACCGCCCAACTTCGCGCGCCAACCCACGTACTCGTACCATCGACCTCACCATTCCCAACCCCAATCTTCCTCCGTCATCACCGATGCTACCACTACTAGTACCAAAGCAATTCACCACCACAGCGCCATGTCCACCGCTGCCGCATCTGCATGCCACCCATGTCTCCTCCGCCGCCACCCTTCCTCTGCCTCCTCGTCCCGCTCCTCCTCGTCGTCTCCGGCGCTGAGCCGACCGGCGGCAGCTGCGGTGGCGGGGCCGAAAGCTGCGGCGATCTCGTGCTCCCGTTCCCCTTCCACCTCAACTCCTCTGCCGCCTGCGCGGCCGCCGATGGTAACTCCTCGTCCCTCTTCCACCTCTCCTGCGACGGCGGCGGTGGCCACAATGCCACGCTTACACTCACCCTCGGCGCCGCAGCCTTCCGCG